GTGGCGGCGTGGGGGGGGGTGCCAGGGCACACCATGCAGCAGGAAGATGTACAGTAGAATGTGGAGGATGGTGGTGGGGTGCAGCAGGTGGACCATGCAATAATGGGGAAGGGTACCAGGGAGCATGCAATGTGCAGCCCTCACTAGTGTGACCTGTGGGGCATGCCCTGATGTAAACTACCCCTAACCCATACATCCCCCAAGGAAATAGTGCTTCCCTCTGTTACTCCCATAGAACCTGAGTTCCTTTGTGGGGGAATATGGGGAGGCCAGCAACTTCCATTTCAAAATGGGTATCTTTCCAGATTGTGGTCCACGTCCTTGTCTTAGATGTAGAGTATCCACATCTCAGAAGAAGGGAGAGAGAGAGGCTGCAACTAGATTTAGACAGACTACAAAAGTGGGCAGATGAGAATAGGATGGGGTTCAACATAGACAAATGCAAGGTGCTGCACCTTGGGAGAAGGAATCCACAGTACACCTACAGGCTGGGGAGTTCCCCTCTTAAAAGCACAGAGGAGGAAAGTGATCTTGGAGTCATTATTGACTCCAAGATGAACATGAGCTGCCAATGCCAGACCGCAGCCAGCAAGGCCAGCCATACCTTGTCATGCACCCAAAGATGCATCTCAAGTCGGTCCAGAGAGGCGATATTCCCCCTCTATGTGACATTGGTCAGGCCACAGTTGGAGTACTGCGTCCAGTACTGGGTGCCAGACTTTAAAAAGGATGTGCCCAGCCTGGAGAGAGTTCAGACGAGGGCCACCCATTTGGTGAGTGGGCAGCACGACAGGCCCTATGAGGAGAGACTGAGGGACCTGAACCTATTCAGCCTCGGCAAGAGGAGGCCGAGGGGGGAGCTGGTGGCTGCCTACAAACTCATCAGGGGAGATCATCAGCAAATAGGAAGAGCCCTATTCTCCCCAACACCACCTGGGGTGACGAGGAACAATGGTAATAAGCTGATGGAGAATAGGTTTAAGTTAGAGATCAGAAGGCAATATTTTACAGTTAGGGTGGCCAGAATCTGGAACGGAACCAACTTCATAGGGAAGTGGTCATCACCCTTACCTTTGGGCAAATTCAAAAAGAGGTTAGATGATCACCTGTCTGGGGTCTTGTGAACCCAGCATTCATTCCTGCCTGTGGCAGGGGGTCAGGGTAGATGATCTGATCAGGTCCCTCCTGACCCCAGCTACTAGGAAACTATGAAACATATAACTCTGTGAGCACAATAGGAAACAGATTGCATAACTAGGAACAAAAAATGATCCTTTCTGACAAAAAATGGATCTCTAACAACTTCCTCTGTATCCCCCCCCCAAAAAATGTAGACACCCTTTTACTCTCAAATAGATAGTGCGAGTATGTGTGTACCAGGCCTGTGCAAATAGGGAAGTATTCGATTCAGATTCGGTTGATTTGAATGACAGTAATTCTATTTGGTGATTCAAATCACTGTCCCCATTTCATTCAGCTGATTCAGAATCAGAGATTCTGCACTGATTTGGAGATTCAGATTGGCTGGGTAGAGGCAGGCACAGCCACGTGCCTGCAGGTTCTCCTCTGGCTCCTCTGGCTGTGCCTACCACTTCCCAGTCAGGGGGAGCTGTGGGAGAAGTTCCCATGGCTGCCCTACCTGGCCCCAGCCTCCCAGCCCTTAAAATAAAAATAAAAGCAAAAAAAAAAAGCTGTACACTCACCGGCTGCAGCAGTGGGGATCAGGGCCTCTGAGGACTCATAGCAGAGTGCCCCCTGCACAGCACGAGGCAGTGGAGGGCAGTGGGGATCGCTCCTCTGCCTGGTACCTGTGTGGCAGCTGCTCCATGGTGCAGGTGCAGCACGGCTCAGCAGGGCACCGTGTGCAGTCTGGGAGCTGAGACCACTGGGGCTGAGTGGTGCTGGGCTCCAGCTGACTGCTGGAGCTGTCCCAGCTCACAGACAGCACGCGGCACCCTGCTGAGCCACACTGCACCCACGCAATGAGACAGCTGCGGGTGCAAAGTGGAGGGGTGGGCGATCCCCATGCCCCCCCACTCCTCCTGCTCTGTGCTCCATGGAGAGGCTCTGCCACAAGCCTTCAGAGGCCCTGATTGCTGCTGCCAGAGCCGGTGAGCGTGGGCTTTTTTTTTGTTTTGTTTTTGTTTTTAAGTGCTGGGAGCCAGGGCTGGGCAGGGGATGGGGCCAGGCTGGTCAGCCATGGGGGCTTCTCCCTTGTACCTGCCTCTGCCCCAGCAGGGGGAGCCATGGGAGAAGCCTCCATGGCTGCCCTGCCCAGCCCCATCCCGTGCCTGGCCTGCCCAGCACGGAGGAGGGGGTGCACAATGTAGGTGTGGCTCACTCCAGGTGACAGTAGGACATAACCCCCGTTCCCAGTGCCGCCATACCTACATCAGCACTGAGAGCAGGGTCTCTGTCCTGCTGCTGCTTGCCAGCTGGTACAGGGATGTGGGCAGCCAGCTGGTACAGAAGAGTGCAGGATGCAGGCGTGACAGTGCTCGGAGCGGGGGCTATGCCCTGGTGCTGCTTGCTTAGCCAGCACTGGGGGATGGCAGGGACACGATCCAAACATAGCCCCTGCTCCCAGCACTACTGTTTCTGCATCAGCACTGGGAGCGAGGGCTCTGCCCTGCTGCCACTTGCCAGCCAGCGTGGAATGGGGCGCAGGATGCAGGTGCGCAGTGCTGGGAGCGGGGGCTCTGCCCTGCTGTTGCTTGCCCCCTTAAGCGTGGAGCAAGCCATGCCCAAACCCTCCCACCCCTGCTCTGGCTGGGCAAGTGGCAGCAGGGCAGAGCCCCCACTCTCAGCACTGCCGTGCCCACATCCTAATCCCTCCTGAATAAAGCTTGCCCCACCCCAGCTGGGCAGCTTGTCCCAGCCCCAGCCCCAATCCCTCTTTCCCCCCTGCCCCTTCTCTCCCCACTCCCCCAACCCCAACAGACTTATCAGCTGGAGGCAGCTGTCAGCTGCCTGTTTAGTCTATGGCCAAATCTCTGAAGCAGCTGAATCTATTCTAAAGCTTTTCCAAATTTTTTCGAATGCTTCAAATCTTTTTGATTCAGAGCTTTTAATTAGCCTCCCGATTCAATTCAGATTTGGAGATTCGGTCACCGAATCAGGCCAAATCTCCTCTGAATCAAATCAGCTACTGAAGCTTTGCACAGCCCTAGTGTGTACATACACAGAACTTTAATCTGATGGGCAATCTTTGAGATAATAAATATTTAATTTTAATAAAACACTGGCACCAATCTTTTTCCATTTATGGTCTTTCTCTGGATGCTACTGTCTTGTAACTTAACATCTCTTGCCACGTATCTAGAGTCCTTGGGCAGGAAGGAAGAAACAAAGCGGGGTGTGAAACTTTCAAGCAGAGTTATTTTGGTTTCAGTAGTTTTTGAAGTAACTTGTGACTTCTGTTTATTATAATTGTTGGTTTTTCCATATCAGAACTAGAATCCAAAACAAATCTGATCTCTCAGTTATACAGCATACTTTCAAGCCACAGATCTCTGTGTTCAGAAGTATTCTTTTCCAACTTAAGAAAAAATTTTATAGAAACACTTATTTTCTTGAGAAAAGTGAAATTTACATCTTAATAACCTTTTTACCTTCTGATCAAGCAGACAAGATGCTGTTCTCCCCTCCTCTTGCTGCAACACTTCATTTTTGCTTTTATTATTCATGCTGTACTATTTGTGAACTCGAAGAGTAAATGTAATCCTAAACTTGTGTGTTAGCAGCCACTCGGTGTTTTCGTGCCGCTTCATTATTATTACTTCTGTTGCTTCCAATTCTCTCTGCACAAAGCAAATAACTATTAAAAAACCCTACCTTAATAAACAGAGTACTCTCTACTCCTTTAATATTAGAATATCAATAACATCTGCATAGAACAAGGAGCAAAGGAAGATAGATCAAAAAGAAGTGGGAATCTAATAAATCAGTGTTCGTGGGGAAAATATTTTCCATAAACTTAGAGAGATGTTAGAACTCCAGAAGCATTGACATGATCCAGTTTCCACCTCGTTAGCTAATTTTAATGAAGTTTCACCCATGTGTACTGTTCTTGGAGATTTAAGTATATCCATGTGTCAACTAGGTCAGACAATGCCACTCAGCCATCTCAGAATAAAGATGTATATTCTGCAAAATTTATGACTAGTGCCAAATCAAACATGCATTTTTCTTTTCTCTTATCAACACAGTATTTTCAGAATTATATTTGAATAGATCATTAATAAGTTTCTAAAAGTAAATAATAATCAAGGATAAAAGTCAGGCCACAAATATTAAACTACAAAGGGAAAGCCCCCGATTTTACTTGTTTTTCATACCTGCTCATCTGATTGCATTTAACAATCAATTATCACCGAAGGGAGAGAAAATAGCACTGGCTCATGTACATCAGAACACCACTTAAAATGCATTCTTTTTGGGCTCCTTCAATGATGGCTGTCTTCTACTATATGAATATCTTCTAGTATCCAAGTTAGATTAAACAGTTCCATTTACTGGTTCAAACGACTGAGCTCTAAGACGAAGCGCTACAGCAATTTATATTTATGGATCCTATTTGCAATCACTCCATGGAGTCTCTGAAAAGATACAACATATCATTCCTAACCAGACAAGGAAAAGGAAATCTGTAACAAACCTTTATCACAACTCTGTTAAACTCTTTATCACAGTTAAAATAGTATGCAATCATTTATTTTACATTTTAATATACTTTTTTTCTGTTTGCATGCTTCATATTATTTAACCAAGCCCTAAACCAGCAGATTTCTTTAACTGAAATCCAAATGTTTTTTCCCTTTGATTTTCAACCATCTGGAACTCTGATGATACAAAAAGTTAAAATATTTTAGTATTTTATCTTCACAAAAGGACATTATTAGTCTAAAGCATATGATTCCTTGATGGAAAAAAAAAACAATCCTACTCTACTTCAGCTAATGCATGCCTGATAATTTACATCCACTGAAGAATATCTCACTCAATGTTTATTCATGCATATGTAAGTACAGTGGGAATTTTCTGACAAGTAAGAAAATTATGATTCATTTGAAAATGAAACTGGTCACTGGAAAAATCCAAGTTTTATGAACCTCCTGATTGGATAATGTTGAAATACCTCATCTCAATATTTTAAACGAAATGCTTTAGTTTCTAATCAGAAATGACTGCTCCAAATTGTTCATGATTTATACTAAAAGAGAAAATGAAAAAGACAAAAAGATCAAAGTTGAAACTAAACATTTTGAAACTTTTTATATAGAATATTTTGATTCTCTGTCCTGGTCTTTTTTTTTTTTTCCTTTTGTAGAGGGGAGGATGATGAAGTTCACAAAGTCCTACATAGATTTCTGGTTGCAATTTGGTATTGGAAAATAATTCTAAATCTCAAACATGCTCAGGAAAAAAGGTAATAATTTCCTACCTAACTTTCCCAGCGATGCTATTGCACAGACCAGTAAACAGAAGTTTGAGTAGCACATACAAAAGAAGGATAAAGCTCCTTTTAATTTGAAACTCTAGACTGTGGTGTGTTTAAGGCTGCAGCATAGGCTGCAATAACAGATTAGACTTGGCTAATTTATCCAGTAGATGGCAATACTGCTTATTGCATTTCTTCATGTTTAGACTGAATTTTTAAGAAAACAGGTCTGAAAAAGGTTGGAAAACATAATTTTAACTCTCTTTCATTTGCCAACATTTCACTTTCATTTAGACCAACAGTTCTCAGCCTGTCAGTTGTGTGACACCCAAGGGGACTGAGCAGTTGTCTCTGGGTCACAAACCTGCTGCTTTTCCCTGTTTGCGATATTATGCTGAAGTATATTTGCTTTGACAGATAACTAGTCTTCCTTCCAGGCCAAAAACACCCCAAGAACCATCATTCCAATTACTAAGGTGAATCTTGTGAAGAAAATAAGGCCATGCATTAAGAAAAAAGTTTAAAAAACGGATTTAGAAATTTTTTTTTTTAAATCAATGCCACTAGTTTTTTTGAAGGTCAGAAAAGTAAAAATACTTCTAGTATTTGGGCTATGAGCCAGTACTGCTATCCACTCCTGAGATACAGAGGGAGGCAAGACAAAGGAAGACAGAAATCTCCAAGTTTTACATGTTAATATCATGGTTTGATCTTTCACGTCACTTTTTCATTTTTGAGCCTATCTTTACTTTTAGTTTCACGGAGTGGCAAGAATGCACACGAGTAAAAGAAGCTAGAGAAGTGGGACGTGTACTTCCTATGTAAGTTAAACAAAGATCAGTCTGGGGCCAGGGTGTAAATCAGATCAGATCAGATCTGTATCAGATCCTCTGTTCACTAGAAACAATCTGATGAACTAATTTTTCCTATCTGTCACTCATTAATTAAGGTATTCTTCAATAGGTGTAAAAAATACCAGAACATCTTTCTTAGAAATGCAGTTATCAGAGGATTTCTGTGGACTTCTGGGTGCTTATAAAATACCAACTCATTTATGATAACGATCAATATCATAGTACATACCAAAATGATTCATAAATTTCTAGACTTCTTCCCTGTGTTCTTAAACATGTATTTCATAAAATAATTTAGTAGTGTTTTATTAATAATGACAGCTTATTACTAAGTACTCTTCTTTCATTTGCCCTTTCCCAAGCCTTTTGAGAGATCATTTTAGATAAAGATGGGGTCAGACTTCTGTCACTTGAAAGCAGTAGGAATTCCAGAACAACAGGAAAGTGACATACTTACAGAATATCATACCTTGCTGGAAAATGGGATTTTAATTTTTTTGAAATGTTATTTATGACTGGGGGGGAGGGGGGATTGTCATCTAAAATGGTCAGCCAAAGCAATCCATTCCCTAGAGAGAAAGGTCAGTGCTTTGTGAATGTGTGTAACAGGCCAAATAGCAGTTTGGGAACTGGCTGCAGAGAATGGGCAAGATAGTGGTATAAAAACTGTTCTTGCTAGTCGCACTATCTTAGTTGTCTTGTGTTTAAAGTTGCCATAATTGATTAACTGCCAAGAAGCACATCTCAGTCAATATACATGATGCCTTGTCTGGTGTTTTACAAAGTCTGTGAAAAGGAGAGGGCAAGCTAGGACCAAAGTCAACCTAAAGTGGCAGGATAAAAAAAATCAGTCAGAAGAAAGGCATGAATATATCTGGCCTTTTAATTAATAATGAAAGTATTAGACTCATTCCAAGAGTAGAGGCATAGAAGTGTCTCTTATGTACTGTATTACTAATTATTTCTAACTTCTCTTGCACCACATAATCTATTTGGATAACTACATCTCGGTACATTTAGAAAGTTATACCATAGATCAATGGTCACCAACAAGTGAATCTTGATTCACCAGTAGATCTCAGAGCTTCTTGGAGTCGATCCAAGGCTGGGGTGGGGGTGCTGAGTGCCTGCATGCAAGCACGCATGGTCCCCAAACCAGGAGGTCAATCCATGGGGGAGAGAAAGGGTGGGGGATAGATCAAGGCCCCTGTGGTGAGGAACAGGGTCAGAGACAAGAGCAGGGGTAAGTTGAATGGGGTCCTGGCCAGGGTGGGACGTAGCTGCTGAGGAGCTGCACCCCCAAATAATTTTCTCTCCCTCTCCCTTGATCTGCCCCACCTTCCTTTCCCACAGACTTACCTGCTAGGTGG